GGGCCCCCCCCCCCCCCCCCCCCATGATGTCAATTCTCCGGACACTCCAGGTTCAGCCCGGGCGCGAGCCCAGGGATTAGCACACCATTCGGCGCGAGCGCCTTCTCGCCGGTGGCGAACAGCCCCTTCTCGGGGGGGTCGTTCAGCCCTCACAGCTCGCCGGTGTCGCCTGGGATGGGCATTGGTTCTAGCCCCGCCTTCAGCCCGAGCTCGCCGCGGTACAGCCCGGACAGCCCGAGCTTCAGCCCGAGTAGCCCGGCGTCTCCGGCGTACAGCCCCACCAGTCCGGCGTACAGCCCAACCAGCCCCGCGTATAGTCCGACGAGCCCGGCGTACAGCCCGACCTCTCCGGCGTACAGCCCGACGAGCCCGGCGTACAGCCCAACATCTCCGGCCTACTCTCCCACCAGCCCGGCGTACAGCCCCACCAGCCCGGCGTATAGCCCGACCTCGCCGGCATACAGCCCCACCAGTCCGGCCTACAGCCCGACAAGCCCGGCTTACAGCCCGACTAGTCCGGCCTACAGCCCCACCAGCCCGGCGTACAGTCCGACCAGCCCAGCGTACAGCCCGACGTCGCCGGCCTACAGTCCAACAAGCCCGGCTTACAGCCCAACATCTCCGGCCTACTCCCCCACCAGCCCGGCGTACAGCCCCACTAGCCCGGCCTACAGCCCCACTAGCCCGGCGTATAGCCCCACCAGCCCGGCATACAGTCCGACTAGCCCGGCGTACAGCCCGACGTCGCCGGCGTACAGCCCCACCAGCCCGGCCTACAGCCCGACGAGCCCGGCTTACAGCCCTACCTCACCGGGCGCTGGAAGGTAGGTCGACTTCGGTCTTGGACTGGGACAGACTTGTTTTTGTTTTGTTGTCGTGGTTGATGTTGTTGTTATTGTTGGTAGTGTTGGTGTTGGTGTTGCGTGGCTGTCTTGTGAGTGTGTAGGCTGTGCCGACCGCTCACCAGCTCTCTCCATGTTCGGTTCCAATCCCGTTAAGACGTGAAAACCCATTTTGTTTGTCCAGACAGCATGTGTGCTACTTACTCATGGTTGCCAAAACGAGAACGAGAAGAAGCCGCAAATGACATCTCAGGCGATGTCGTCCTTTCTGGCCCTGTACATCCCCTCTCTCGTACCCCCCCCCCCGACCCGCCTGACTTTCTAGTTGGTTACCCCCCAACCAACTCAACAACACCCCAAACATCATGTTGCCCCATCTGCCCCC